CTTGTATATGGAAGGAAACTTTGTTGGTTACCAGGAGTGGGAGGGGAAGGAAGAGAACACTGAAAAAAAAAAAAAAAATGCATTGACCCATGTCACTTTAGTTTTGTGTATTTCTTTGTAGATAAATTATATTTCAAGAAAATGCATTAAAAAAATACTGTTTGATTACAGAATTGTTATCATATGGAGTAGAATATTATCTATGTAAAAATACATATAAAAGAGACTAATGGTGAAATTATATTTTTATTTAAGCAAAACTATCTATTTTAAATCTATATTTGGATTTTGACTTAGTATCACTTCATAAAAAATAACATCACATATTTCCTAAAAATTAATAACTGAAATATTTGTTTCTACAGAGAAGGTGATGAACCACATTCAGTCAAGAACACCATCACCTATCCCTCTTTGCCATGGATGCCATAAACTTTCATGTAGAATCTAGATCTCACTTATGTATTTCTTTTGACACTGATGATTGGGAGGAGAAAATTCTTTTCTTCTCATTCCTTATCACACGTTTAGCCTTTGCTAAAATTTCTCTTTCAAATACAAACACAATTTTTTTTTTAAAAAATAGACATATTATTTTTAAAGTATTAAGTGATTATCTTTAAAGACAAGATACAATGTGGTTGTCTAACTCATAAAAGTAACATATCTCGACAAAAACACTTTTGAGTAACTGAGAGAGAATGCAGAAGTCCCTGGCTAAAAGTCACGGCTAAAATCTGAAGGAATCTCAGCTACACCAAACCCACTGCTGCTGAGTCAATTCTGATTCTGATCCCTACATCATTTAGGCCTTGCACAATTATCTTCTTAGAAAAGAAAAACTGTGATTGTAGAACTTGCTAAACATGAGAAAATATACTTAAAGTCTGATTTTGTAATCCAAAGATTACCTGACAAATACTATAAATTTATTAATAACTTGAAGGCTGGTAGTTCAAACCCAGCAGCCACTCTTCGGAAGGAAGGTTGGGCAACCTAATTCCATAGTGATACTGCCTCGGAAACTGAAGGAGGGGTCGCTATGAGTCAGGTGCAACTCAACGGCACATAACAAGGACAACATTAACTTGGGTGAAGGGAAAGGCAGTATGCGATAAAGGGAAGGGCATCACAAAACGATCAAGGCAGAAGACAACACTGGGAGGAGCACATGAGTTTAATGTAACAAAGGAAAATACTGTTATGTGCACAATCCTACAATAACAATAACAACAATAAATTATGAGTGAATACTTAGATAGAAACTCAAGCTGAACAGGGGTGGGAAGGTGAGGGACTACAAAAAAAAAAAAAAAAGATCATAAAAACAATGAAAGCAGTACCCACTTCTGGGTAAATCTGACTCCTTTAACCTTTGAACTGAACCAGAATGAAAGAAATTCAGTAATTAAATGCATGGCCAAATTAGGCTTTTGTTCTCAATGATGCTTCCAAATTCTCTGAGACTAGCTCTCAGAAAGCTTTCCTGACTCACTGCCACTTTTAAAATCCCATCCAAGACAAGATCGTCCTTGGTGTGGCAGAAATGGAAGCCTAAGAGAACAGTTTCTTGTTATTAGAAGTTAACAAATACTTCCATTTATACAAACTAGGCATCAAACAGTTAAACACTAAAGCTCAGTGTGAAGCCTGGCTGCCCCTGGGCCCCACAGGCATCCCTTGGCACTCCTCAGGTGCTGCTGCAGGGACGCTGTGCATGAGCGACAGGAAACAACCTTAGAGACAGGTGTGCTTCATTAATGAGTGGGGGAAGGGGACTCATGATAACCTAGCTCTTCTCTCAGAGGAAGAGGGCAAAGTGGCATCAATAGGAAATGAAGTATTGCCTCACACTGATTTGTGTAACAGAAGCAGAGATTTGACAGTGAGCTTACTGTTTTATTAAAAAAAAAAAAAAATTAGAAATGTTGAATCCTTTCTTGAGGAAGATCATTTCTTGATACTTCAAGCAGAAAGTGGGTATTTTCAAAACTGGCTTTCTGAAATTAGGATGAAAGTACAGTAACTGGCTTAGCAGAAAATACTAAAGAAAAAAATGTCACAAGCAGAATGAAAAAAAAAATAGCATATATAAAACCAGGATCAAGGAAGAGGTGCTTTCCTAACCACTCCTCAATGAGGAAAATGACGAGAGATTAGTGATACAAACACCAAGACAGCACCATGAGTTAAACCTATGGATCCTATCTAGAATTTGACAGAAATATATACACACACAACACACTCACATACATGTACACAAATACGCACACACATATACATGCACAGATGCAAATACATTGTGCTATTCTTTTCAACTAGCCCCTACTGCCAGTCAAAGTCCTAGTGCTTCGGGATACTACTATTAATAATAATTCGAACACAGATAAACTCAACTACCCTTCAGTCACTCCCCTGAAGCTAGACCAGCCAATGGACTTTACCTAGAAACCAGAAGGCAAAAAGTAGTAAGATTTATGCTAACTGGAAACTTTTCGCAGATTAGCACAGTCAAGGTGAGCCAGGAGCACTAGTTGCTTTCCTTACTTCAGATTATTTTTTCCTCTGCAGTACGATCTTCCAAATTCAAAGAAATGACTGCAGAATACATCATTTGAACAATGAGAGGCTCTCAATGACACTGATCAATTTAAAATAAGACTTCTAAATATCTAAATACATAAGACCATTTGTATTTTAAAAACTTCAACTACTGAAATTCCAAACATGCACTTGATAATTCTCTGCATCATTCAACAAGTCATTCCAAATTACCACCTCCAATCATAATTTAGGAGTTCTGGTGGTGTAGTGCTTAAGGCACTTGACTGCTAACCAGAGGCTGGCGGTTCAAACCCACCAGCCACTCCTCAGGAGGAAGCTTGAGCAATCTACTTCCCTAGTGATACTGCCTCGGAAACCCAAGGTGGGGTTGCTATGAGTCACATCCAAATCAATGGCAGTGAAGTGAGGAGGGAATTATAATTTACCAACACACAGAAAATAAGAGAGTTCCCTGAAAAGCATATTGTCTCTCTACACAAGGGCTCGCAACTGACATTTGGAAAACACTGACAGAATTTTTATAATCACCTACAGTCCAAGAATATACATATACATATTTGTACTTTTATTTATAAATTACAATTCTCTTCCCTACTACACACACTTCTTTTTAGTGTGCACAAAATATACTTTAAATGCAGAAATTATAGTTTTGTTTTTAATGGTTCAGTTTGTTTTATAACTATTTATATTAATGGCATTGTTTTGATACCATAAAGCTCCTCATTAAAGGGTACAATTTTTTAAATCTATAAAATACATAGAATTGTACTGAGAAAAACAGTATTTCCTCTGCATGAATACACAAGCAAAAACAGATCTTCTAAAAATACTGAAGAAATGTAAGGGTTGGTTTTAATTTTGCTGTTAACTTCAATCCAAAACACTACAAGTAATAATTACAGTTCTTACCACTCTTGAAGGATCTCTGGTAGCATAGTGCCTAAGGCACTTGACTGCTAACCAGAAGGCTGGCGGTTCAAACCCACCAGCCACTCCTCGGAAGGAAGATGGGGCAATCTACTTCCGTAGTGATACTGCCTCGACAACCCAAGGAGGGGTCGCTATGAGTTGGGGCCGACTCAACGGCACATGACAACAACAACCACCACCACTCATGAAGTGCTGAAAGGCACCAAATATTATCTACCTATAAAAATGGATCTTAGTTAACATTATTCATCACTGATAAAAGAGGGTAAAAATCTGCTTAAGTCTGTAGGAAATAATACCTTGACATGGCTTTAATAATATCAAAGCAACCTAACATCTTTCCACAATAAAAAAATAAAGCTCTAGATGTTTTACTCTTTTTAAAAAAAGTTTCATCAGAAACTATGTCAAAAAAAACCCCTAAACTTCTTCTGTATAGCTGCTAAAACCTATTCAATTTTTCCATCCCAAAGAATTATTAAATCAAGGACAGTGAAATTAAATAAGGCTTATTATTTTTTTTTATTTGTATAAAAACAACGAACAATTATTTTAGGTTCATTTCCAAAATGTTTATTAAAACACTATTGTCACTTATCTAAGAGAGCAGCAGTTTTCTAAGCTCCAGTCTCCTAAGATCCAAATGTTCCAGTTGCCATTATTTTATAATTATATTAGACACGTATTTGTCATCTGCTTTTTTAGTAATTTACACCGTAGAGAAAGTATTCTTATTTTTCTATAAGGAAAAAATAATCTTTGACGTTTATATATATATATATTTTTTTTTTTCCCATGGTGTGATGTGATGCTAATGCCATCGAGTAGATTCAACTCATAGCGACCCCTCCTTAGGTTTCCAAGGCGGAATCTCTACGGCACTAGATTGCCCAATCTTTCCTCCAAGGCGTTGCTGGTGAGTTTGAACTGCCCACCTTCTGGTGAGTAGTCAAATGCCTTAGGCATTATGCCACCAGAGGTTCCTTTATACTGATAAGCCAAATATCTCAAACTGAGCTATTAAAAGCTTAGACATCATCTATTTGAACCACTATTTTCTATTAAACACTTACGCAAGGTTCTTAAGAATTTCTGTAAAATGAGATCTATCATATTGTTTATGTATATACAACTAAGCTTGTTTCTTAATAATTCAAGAGACTGGCAACACCAAAGATACTGTGAAAAGTCAATGTGATTTTTATTTGGCATTTATACATTCCTTCAAAGCTGTAGGCTTTCAATTCATAAATAGCTGGACAAACTGTTACTTCACGTCATTGGCTCAAGTTACCTCCTTACGTCTGGTGTATTAACTGAGACAAGTCTAAATTCTATGAATACTTAATAAGAGTATAAGCATTTAATGAGTAATTAAAACTTCTTCTAAGATATCAATATTGATTGTTTTCTTCATTAGAAATATTTTTGCTCAGAAATTGGTCATCAAAATATTATACACCAGTATGTGAACATCTATGTAAAATGAAGGTATGGCTTACCTCAGTCAAGTGTGGTGTCGGGTTAAATCCACAGAGATTGCACACTTGATTCTTGCACTCAGTGCAAGTACTAAAGTTAGGAGGATCCTCAGAACCTATATTGAGTTCAATTTTGCAGAGAGGACATGCCGATTCTGCTTTAGGGGTTTTCTCTGCTTTAAGAGGAAGGACAGCCTTTTGCGGCTCAGTTACTGAAGGTTTGCTATCCTTAGTAGATGGAGGCTTCTTTTCTGTTTCTGTTCTTCTCACGATTGGAACGTGTTCAACTTTGGGTTCTAGTTTTTCAGCTGCTGGAACTTTTGTTTCCTTTTTGCCAGGTATGACCTTTGCAGGTGCTGGTGGTGTCTGACCTGTGGATTTGGGTGGCCCCTGAGGAGGAGGAGGAGCTTGCTTTGATGGGGCCCCTGGCCCACTTTGTGGATGAGGTCCAGGCTGCCCTGCTGTGGAAATTAAATTTGATGCCTGGCTGAAGATAGATGCTCCAAACCCGAAGAGTTTCCCAGTCACAGTTTCTTGAGGAGTTGTGGGCTGTGATTTAGGGGCATCAGTGATACTTCCTAGATTCAGACTGAAACGTCTTGACTGCTCCTGAGTCTTTGGGGGCTGTTGCAATATGGGGGGAGTTTGGCCAGTGGTAGGTCGTGGAGCAGGGGGGGTTGCTGACACTTTTGGCACGGGCTTGGCATCTGGCTTTGGACTCATTTTAGATTGTGCTTTCTTGGGATCTTCCTTCTTTTGAGCTGGATCAACTTGTTTTTGATCTTTGCTCTCTGACATAGGCCCAGGATGTGAAATAATTTTAGAATCAGATGCAGGCCGAGGCATGGCTTTAGAATCAAGTGGGGTGATTTTTTCTCCTGTTGGTGGAAAACTTTGTGAGGGTTTGGCAGTGTCTGTTTTGAAAGGAGGGGCTATTTTCTCCGGAGGCTGTGACTGTACTTTGGCGCTTGGAACCTCAGGTTTTGTTGCTGCTGACAATGAAGATACGTCTGTGGCTGGCTTTACCATTTTGGGCAGCTTTGGTTTAGCATCAGCCATGGAGGATTTGGCCTGCTCCGGTGGAACAGAAGGCTCTGTAGGAGGGGCTGGCTGGGCTGAGGGCTCTGTTACACGAGGCTGCTTGGCCATGGGTAGTGAAGATCCGTGAAGTGTTGGTTGTTTCACTAGTGGTGGGGGTTTTTTAGACTCAGGTGGCTTCGAGATCTCCTGTTTGGGTACAGCACCCTTCTTTGGGGAAGACTGCTGTGATTGTGGGGATGACCTGCTCACTGATGGTGTGGAAACAGCAGGAGCAGTCTTTGGTTTGGGCTGGGGTGAGGATGGAATCGGAGCCAGATCACCTTCTAGAGCTCTCTGCATCTGACAGTTCAAACAGAGCCATTCTTTTATCTAGAAATAATATGAAACAATGATCACAGAGATAATAGCAATGTAGAAACAAACATTTCACAAAATGCATGGTTCCATTTTTGTCTTTCATCATTCAAAGCATAAAACACAAACCAAATTATTTTACTTAGTTTTATACTAAAATACAATTAATGAACCTCACAAGCCAAAATATTCTGTATTTTGAAGAAAATAAAAAATAAAAATCAATATACAGTTATATTTTTCTTCCAATGCTAATGTTGCTATTTGTTGTCTTTTGATTTACAAAGTTTGATTACTCTCAAAAACAGAAAATATTATATAATTAAAAACACAAGTTATAACATATTAACTCAAAAACTCACTGCCGTTGAGTCTGATCCGACTCATAGCGACGTCTTCTTTAGTTTCCAAGGCAGTATCACCACGGAAGTAGATTGCCCAGCCTTCCTTCCAAGGAGTGGCTGGTAGGTTTGAACTGCCAGCCTTCTGGTTAGCAGTCAAATGCCTTAGGCACTATGCCACCAGAGCTCCCTATAACATATTAGAGTCTATAAATCAGTTAGGTTAAATATTTTTTCTACTGATAGCTCAAAAGAGTTTTTATAGTCCAGATCAGCCACTCCTCCGAAAGAAGATGGGGCAATCCACTTCCACAGTGATACTGCCTCAGAAACCCAAGGAGGGGTCGCTCTGAGTCGGTCCGACTCAACAGCACATAACAACAGTCCAGATTACGCTTGTCAAAGTATTAGAACATCATTAATTTCTCAAATCAGCATAGTAATTCTTCCCCTCCAGGACTGTATATTCGAATGTGGAAAGGTAAAAAATTGGTACTATTTTCCTGTTAGGAAAGTAAAGCAAAATAATGCTATCCCCTCTAATTATCATAAACAGTATGATCAAAACCATTGTTTATAAGTTTGATGAGTAAAACCAAAAAGGAGAAAATAAGGAAGCAATATATTTATTTGACTGTTCTTTTCATACCATATTCATTGTGAAAAGATGCTGAATTTAATACCATGTATCAGAAGATAATTTAAAAGCACCTATTAATCAGAACCAACCTGATGGCAGTGAGCTGGAGTTTTTGGTTTCTATCTATGTTTAACATTTACTGTTATTTTTTAAAATTCCAAAGTAATATATACTTATTATAAAAAATATTAATATTAGCAAAATAAAGTTTTTAAAACCTTAAATTCTACCACGATACAATTGTCCCCACACAAACTGGCCAATGTTAAAAGTTTGGCACAGAAGTTCTTTGGGAAGAATGATGCACAGTAAAAAAATAAGTATATGGAGCATAGGTAACAGAAAATTTTCCACAGTATAAAATTGTGAAGTGTTAGGCTAGCAAACAGAAACATACTCTTAATCTTCAAATAATTTCCTTTTGAAAAGAAACTGAATTAGTTATAAAATTTTTAGTTCTTCATCATGTGACAGTCTAAACTTTTAAGTTTTTATTATTAAAAAACTCTAAAAATTACACAAAATCTTTTTCTTAATTTATTAAAATGGCTTTAAAATAAACAGGGCTTTGAAATTATTTAATTTCATGCATTAGTATGTTGTTGTTGTTGTTGTTGTTATGTGCCATCGAGTCAGCCCTGACTCATAGCAACCCCTTCTTGGGTTTCCGAGGCAGTATCACTACGGAAGTAGGATTGCCCAACCTTATTCCGCAATCTCACGGAAAACAAACTTTTGTTTCAAGACAGTTAAAAGAAAAATTTGACTATTTGAAATGTTGTATTTTAAAAAATATGAATCAAAAAAGTGAAACTGTAATATTTATTAAATATTGGTATTGATACTTGAATGTTCATTATATTAATTTTCAATATGGTTGCTGGATATCTATGTATTCATTATTACTTTATCTTCACCTTTCTCCATGTCTGAATTATTTCAGAAAATAAGTAACTTGTCATATATGTATTTTAAGCCCAAAAACTAATCTATTTTTTTCTTATTTTTGTCTTCCACAAGCTTATGCAATTGCACCTCACCTCATAATCATGAAGGTGAGCAAGATAAGAAAAATTTATAATGAAACACCTAATTCTTTAAATGTACTGTCATTATTTCTTCCTCCCTATAAAATATCTATTATATGAGATCTGTATCCACATTAGTCATTTTAAATTAGAAACTGCCAGGTTCAGGGACTGTCATTTATTATTAATTCCTTTTATTCTTTTCAACAAGTGTCACTGCCACAGTAGATGCAAAATTTATTCACTTATTCATTGCCTTATTCAAATATTTATTGAGCACATGCTATAGAGCATATACCACTGAATAAAAGAGGGAAAATTCCCTGCCCTCATGGAGCCTACATAACACTGTTAGAGAAGAAAAAATTAACAGATCATTTCAGGGTTCATAAAGATATACAATAAATATCTGATAATACTGTGATGATTCCTTATCTCCTTTATTGTCCCTGAAAAATATATTTGGTTTTGTCAGTAATATTTAAGCCTCTTTACAATATGAACAGTGAAGCTTCATGCATAGCCAACCACTAACTCCGTCTTTTGACCACTATAGAATTAGAACACCACCATGATATATCTAATGTATGATGAACATAAACACTACAAAACACAAGCAGTCCTTTCCTCATCCACAATAATGTTTCATTGTGGTTTATAAATTTGTATGACTATGTCTCTACCTAAGGAGCAAAAGGAGAGGTAGGAAAAAGGAGGAAGAAAAAACATGGGTCAATGCCCCCTTCAAAGACAAAGAATTCTACTTTTCTCTTAATATATTCCTTTTATACACAAACTCCAATGCCCCAAATTTTGTTCTTTCAATGACTTTTTTTTTCTCTTTGATAAACATCATGTAAAGAACATTTGATCCTCTAATGTTCCTGATTGCTGTTAGAATAGGGGTAGAAATCATTGTCCATAGCTGTCACAATAGGAAAAGCTTTCTTTCCTCTTAGAGTTTTTAAAAAAGAGTCTACTTTTCATTTATTTCTACTGGCCAAATCAACTGGAAGATAGAGATGTTTATTTTTTCAGCACTTAGTAGTCTAGTACTGAACAGCAGGATTTCCAATTTCCTGATTCAACTGATAAGCAACAAACAAAAGAAATTCCCCATACATTGAGAAACTGAAAATGTCCGCAATCCACCCCAACACTAACATCATGAATCACCTTCTACTTTGCTTTTGTCATGTCTTTTACTATACACTTAGAGAGAGTAACAAGTGGTAAGCAGTAATAATGTCATTGCTTTCTCTACCATCTGAGTTAGAAATTCTGTAATATTTTTACTGCATTCTCAATTATTCCCCAAGCACTGTCGGCATTTCTTCTGAAAATGAATTCCCCATTCATTCTTTCACATTCCCAAAGCTTCTGTTGCTCATTTAGCCCTCATCATTTCTCTAAAACATTACTCATCCATCAAAAGCAACCTGTTTAACAAATAACCACAAAGAGACGCTAACCATTTCCCCTAAAACTTCGATGCCTCTTCATTGCCTATAAAACAAAACTTTTTATTGCCAGAAATAAAATATCCATAATTGTGTTGGCAATCCTATCCTAACATTTACATAATCCTATTATTTTCAGGCCTCTATGCATTAGACTGCTAACCAGAAGGCTGCTGGTTCAAACCCACGAGCCATTCCTCAGAAGGAAGGTTGGGCAATCTACTTCTGTAGTGACACTGCTTCGGAAACTAAAGAAGGGGCCGCTATGCATCAGATATGACTCAACAGCAATGAGTTTGTTTTTCTTTTTTTTAATCCCACAAAAGACTATAAACCACAACTAGCCAGGGCTTCCTCTGAGTAGTCTTTCTATTGTCCCTAGGGTCTGACTCTTTACAGTTTACAGACATTCATGAATATTTTTTGAGTTGGTTAGAATTAAATTAATTGCAAATGCTTGACTGTGCTCTTCAAACTATAGCCTCTCTGCGGTGACTCTGCCAATTCCCACTGTTGACCCAGCAATAGGCATCTGCTTTCGTTTTCTAGTTGTGTGCCATCCTCCCCAAACCCTACTTTGTACCTCTGGCCACTGACAATCAATCCTCATCTTGATACAAACGGGAAAGATTTCCCTGTAACTACAGCAGCTGCTAAGCAGATATATTCTCCCTGCCTGGAGACAATTACTTACTTACTGCCTTATATCACTTCCAACATTAAACATCCATCTCTAAATCTAAGCAGAGATGAACCTGAATTCATTACTCTCATTGCCTTAGACATTAAGGTGCAACTGCTTCCAGGTCCACATGTTGCCCAGATTTTTAACACAGTTGATCCTCCTAGTTCTGCATGATGGGGTCTGTATTCCAATACAGAGAATCTTGGATTTTAGTCCTTACAGCCTCCTCCCATACCACAGAAGTCACACAATATCTGAGGCCAAGTCTAATTCAAAGGTTTCCATGAAGATTTCAGAAACAACTTCACTATAACCATCTTTCTGTAATCTAGTTTCTCAGGTCCCCTATTGTTGAGCTTGTTATAGATCAGGGCTATGAATATAGTGGACACCACCTCATTAGCTATGGACTTTGCTTGCTGGATAATCATAAATGTCTTACTTAAATACTTCAAGAAGTAACACTTGAAGGTTTAATGGTGAATTTCACAGTTTCATTTAACAGTGCCATTTTCCAATATAAGCACCAAAACTATCATTTATATTCTGATTTTTAAGAGACTGTCTTCAATAATAATTCAAGATAATTTACCTGACACATGGACGCAATGAAGTGAGATATTCAATTTGGAGGTTCCTAACTTGAATAATATCTCTGGTCATGACTGTTATTTATCTATTTCACTTCAAAACAGAAAATCTTTCTGAAAAAATTCCAGGAGGCATAATGAATAGCATCCACCCTTCAGTGTGCCCCAAACCAGAAATTTCAAACACAAATCTTCATAACATTCATAATAAAAATTGAGTTCAATTATAAAGCAATAGTTCTTAGAACAACAGACCATCAAAAAGAACAAA